TGGCTAGTATTTAGTTTTATTGGATAGTGCAACCCTGGATTACTATAGACTAATTAAATATCTAGGTGATATTCTGATGATGGTAACACACAGAAAAATGAATCTACTTGCAAATTTATAATACTAAAAAGGTAAACAAAAATGATAAACAATATTCAGAGTAGGAAAAAAGGTGGGGGAGTGGGCATTAATGGGAATGATACCTATATACCTTTCCCTAATTTTATATAAAACTGTGTAAAATTCAAGACTGAAATAAAGTTGAAAATTAAGCATAAGAGAAACAGAAAATGGTAGTGTTATTAAATTAATTTTAGTCCAAAATGGACAGGAAGCTGCACAGAAAAGGATAAAGAGCTAAAGATAAATTCTGGTAAAGAATTTCCAGGTAATCAAATATGGACAGGAGAAAACGAAATGAATATCTTATTCAAGGTTCATAAACCACCAAACAAGTGAAAATTACTCCTTACTTGTGCCAAAAGAAGTAACATAAAAATAGATTATTTCAGTGATGCCTCATCAACTCCTAGTTCACATGACAGAACATCATTATATTTTTGCCATCAATGTTCCTATGGTTTCCTCCACATTTCTTTTGCTTTATTTTCTCCTACTGCTCCCCAATAGAAAGCTCAAATTACCTTTTGGAAAAACTCTCCACCATTTTGTTACTGTTATTTACCACATTAATTTTGGCTTCTCTTTATTTTTTTCTTTGTTTATTGATTTTTTAGAGAGGAAGGGAGAGAGATATAGAAATGTCGAGGTGAGAGAGAAACATGGATCGGCTGAATGTTGGCTTCTCTTTACACACAATATCCCATTATGATGATTATGCCAACTATATACATTCAACAAAACATTTCGTCAGTTTGGGCAGCTGCTTATGCTATATAGCCCACACCGTTTCCCCATGTGTACTTTTCCTTCTATGCAAGTCTTTGGAGTTTAAGTTCTTTCAGCTTTGTCCATATGAACATTTGTCTATTTTGCCCCCAGTCTTTAATCACAATTTTTTAGTTTGACAATCTCCTTCAGCACGTTGAAGATCTCTCACAACTGTCATCTGAAATCTATTGGCATCAGTTTGATTTTCCTCTTTGGTGCTGTTAATTCTCTGGTACTTTATAGATTTTATCTACAGCCTCAACTTCGGTTTTAAAATTTCTGAATGGCATGCCCAATGAGAATTTACTTCTATTTCACCTGCTTAGTACTTGGATGGCACTTTTTCCGGGATCCATCGGACTATAACCAGCCTTACCACTTGGCAAATCTATTCTATTTCCAGTCCACATAAATTTCTTTTTTTTTTAAAGCTCATCGCTGATGCTCTGCTTTTCCTCTTTTGTATTAGCTCTCACTGCTGTGTAGTTGGAAAAGAAGGGCTGTATTAAGTGTGAGGTACTGTGATATCTTAAACAGCAATCCCTGCACTGAATACAGGAGTAGGCAAAAGTAGGTTTACAGTTGTCAGTATGGAAAAAGACATGCAGGGCATGATTATTACAATAGCCTCATGAATTCAAATGCATGTCACAATGGCACAGTGCACTTAGATAAAACTTCATGAGTGTTCAAATTGCTGGCCTTTATTATTTACACATCCTTGTAGACTATTTGCTATACTACTCAACATAACTGCAAACCTACTTTTGCCCACCCCTGCATTTATTAACTTAAGATTGAACTGGAAAATCAAGGGAAAATAAACCACTGTGATATGATGTAAAAGAGCAGTGAATTAGAAAGGAGAGGATAATAATAGCTAAGACTTAGTCTATGTTAAGAACTGTTTCAGGTGCTTTGCATGAATTGGATACGTTTTATTTTTATTATATTCTTGCACTATTACTATCTTTAGAGAGAGAGAGAGAGAGAGAGAGAGAGAGAGAGAGAGAGAGAGAGATAGTCTATTTAACTACTCCAAGGTCTCATAAAGCCCGTAAATGGTAGATTGAACCCAGTTTGTCTAATTGCAGAGTCAGAATCTTAACTTCCATACTGTACTGCCAAGTTCCAGCTTTGCCCCAGAGTAGTTTTGAAATCCAGGGAAGGCTGTTTCACCTCTTGATGACAAAGTTTTCTCAACTGTGAAATACAGTGATTATATGAGATGACCTCTAATCTATTTTTCCAAACTTTAGTCATCTGTGATAAAATGAATTTATAGTTTTGGTTAGTTTCCTATTTCAGAGAACCCTCTTAAATTTGTTTTGAGAGCTGAAGTTTTTGGAAAATTTCCAAACTTATTTTAAAACAGTCTTTAATGAGACATGTAATACATTTAAAGAGAAAAAAATTAATCACTTGGAGTGTTCTATAACAGAAAAATAAATCCTGCAAATAAATATCTAGTGGATGTCAATTCGATGTGTAAATACGAAATGTCTTGAACAAAAATATAAAACAAAGATATAGTTGTATGAAAAGAGTTGAGTTCTGGTACTTATTCTGTCTCCAGACCAAACTTAACCTTTTTTGGACCTCAGTTTCCTTGTTTTTAAAATAAGATGGTTGAATCTCTGAGGTCCCTTCTATTTCTAGCGTTTTCATAGTCCACAAGTGAGAATCCATTAAAGTAGTTCAGTGAGGGTATTATCTCTGAATAGACTAAAAACATATGAAAAGTAAAAGCTGCCTTTATCCCACAAATGGCAAACTTTTCTAGGTTTTGTTAGCTTCCTAATTTACCTCTCATAGTAAAAGAATGTCTGTGGTATTTAGTTAAGAGTGTGGGGGTCTAGTCAAATCGCCTGAGTTAGTTTCTTTCTGAAGAGTCGCTTAAACTCTCTGGGACTGATGTTGCTGTTTTGTAAAATGAAGATAATCACAATTCCTATTTATTTGATGACAAAGCAAAATAACTGTAGACCACTTATACCTGGAGCATAGGAGACTTTCAGTAAACATGTGCATTTATTAGTAGTAATAACTTGAATAATTGAGGGTGTTTGTAGAGTCTTCATTCCTAAATACCTGAAGGAAACACATGTGCACATCATCATAAATATTTTACGTGCCTAAAGAGAAAAGACCATAATCAGGAGGAACTTGCTGTAATTTCTTTTCCGCTAAAATCGGACTTCATGTCTTTATGTGTTGGTTTGAAAAATGATGACTTAAGAGCCATTTAGTATTGTTTGATGCTTTGTACATTAGGTGAACTAGAAACAGTTCCTGCCTTTACAGAAAAGATAGCATCAAAAACCCACATACAAATGGGAAAAGAAGCTGATTCAGCAAATGAGAAACCTTAGCTTGCTGGTCACACAACTGAATGCCCTGCAATCAGAATGCGTTTGTCAGTAAAGACACTGCAAGAAACTGCAATCACTGTTTCTTCAAAAGCCCTGGAACTGTCTTACAACATAAAGATTATACACAGCCTCAACTGTATTACCAAAGTTTATATGTCTATTCTTTTGACTAAACTGATGGAAATGTAATTGAAATGTTGTAACTGAATGAAGAAATAGAGAGTGAATAGAAATATTATAACAGAAGATTCATTTTATGAACACTTTTTATCTTAATAAGAGTGACTTCTTTTTAAAAATTTTTTTCTTTATTGATTTTAGAGAGAGAGAGGAAGGGGGAGGGAGAGAGAGATAGAAACATCGATGAGAGAGAACATCGATTGGCCACCTCCTGCATGCCCCCGATCGGGCCCACAACCTGGGCACTTGCCTGACCGGGAACTCTTGGTACATGAGTCAAAGCTCAACCACTGAGCCACACTGGTGGGGCAGTAAGAGAGAATTCTTTAGATGATAGGCAAATTTAGATGTAAATCCAGATCTATATTTTTCATGTCTATATATCTGCATCTGTAGATATCTATAAAATGAAAAACAGAGGAAAAAGAAACAAATAAAACCACTGACCCCGCCCCAACTGAAAACTTCTTTCTTACCTCTGTAATGGGTGTGTGATATCTATTTCTAACTCCTTTGTTGGGCCCTTGCAACATAAAACTCATAACATCTGGCTTTTAATTTAAAAAATTCAAACCAGCTTAATTCAAACACACTTTCTGACTTGAGAAAACTATAAAATCTTCCTTTAGTTTATGATAGCAGTGACCTGTTTCAAGGAGGTTCACTGAGAATTGATGCTGGAAACGGTGTTGAAGATACAAATTGCTATAATTATCTTTGGATATACATATCATTAAACTAAAGAAGATGTCAATAAGTGAACACAAAAATATCTAAACTATTCAGAGCATGTTTAAAACAATAATAAATAATTTCCTTCATTTTTTCAACAAAGGTAATTTGGGCTATAAAATTTTTTCTGTATATGTGAAATAAAATAATATTTTTTTCTATTTAAACCATTCTTTTATTTTCAAAAGATACACACACACACACACACACACACACAGATATAGGTATAATTATAGATATAGATATAAAATGTGTGTGTGTGTGTGTGTGTGTGTGTGTGTGTATGCATTTTAAATCATAGTCAGCATTTTACTTTAGGAAAAATATAAGCAGCATAGTTTAAAAAATAAATAAATATTTGAACCTGAACAGTGTTGCTCAGTGGATTGAGGGACTGAGAGGTTCTGGTTCGATTCTGGTTCAGGGTTCAGGCCTGGGTTTTGGACTTGATCCCCAGTAGGGGGTGTGCAGGAGAGAGCCAATTGATGTTTCTCTCACACTGATGTTTCTATCTATCTCTCTCTCTTACTCTCTCTCTAAAAAAATCAATAAAAATATGTTTTTAAAAATAAAATAAATTTAAAAAAGAAATATTTGGGTAATATCTAAACTGAAATAAACATGATATGATATTTACAGGATCCATGATATAGTTAAAATGCCAAGTATTTCAAAGATATGTATAGAGCAGTCATTCTTAATAATGGTCAGAATCGTTTGGCTCTTTCCATATGAGATAGTGCAGCGCCAGAAAAAAAATAAAATGTTCAGTTATTCATTCTGATTGCAGTTTTTAACGTAATTTGCCTTGTGCATCCTGTTCACCTTGTCAGTGAGTACTGCTTCCCCAAGGCTGCCCCAGGGTCCTGTTGACGGATAGCTCTAATTGCAGTCGGCGCTGTAAACAAGGCAGCTACTCCATGCTCCGCCAGCACTCGGAAGTAAGCACCAGCATCTGGTGTTCCCACAGGCTTCCCCTACAATGAGATTCATTTAAGATGTCACTGGATAAAATGCCTCATATTTCATTGACGGGTCAATACTTATACATGTAATACAGAAATGTTAATAAAGTGGGATTCTCAACAAATCTTAGTTTCAAAACATTCCCATGTTCTGTCATAAATGCAACAAAGCAAATGCCCAGGCATCAGAAAGGACATTTGTCCCATTACAGCATGCTAAAAGCTTTTTTTATCCTCACCCAAGGACATTTTTACATTTATCTTCAGATAGAGTGGGAGAGAGAGAGGGAGGAAGAGAGAGAGAGAAACATTGATGTGAGAGAGACACATCAACTGGTTGCCACCCACATGACTTCAACCGGGACTGAGGACAAACTGCAAACGAGGCACGTGTCCCTAGTGGGAACCAAACCAGGGTCTTCTCTGGTCCAGGGGCCGACTCTCTAACCGCTGAGCCAAACTGGCCAGGGCCTAAAAGCTTTACAAACTGCAATGTTTTCTTTCTCAAGTTTTGAAAGATAAAAGCCACATATATATCTATATGTATATATATGTAACTCAAATTCATAGTATCCAACAGCCTTCTATTTTACAAGAATTTAAACATATGGTTTTGTATGGTAGGCTAAATGAGAAATACAGGTGCTAGTAACTGCTAACATCTTTTTTTCATGATCAATCACTATTAAAAGTTACAATAAAAATTCTCAAAATACTTGAGAAGAGAGAAAACTCTGGAATAACAGTGATTTCTGAGCAATGGCCTTTTCAATTAAATGTCTCACTCCAAGGAAAGCAACTTCTATGAATTAAAGAAATCCAATTAGATATTCCCAAATGCATGTTTTCTGCAGCCTAAAAATGACATTATACATGTCCAATGGAAAATCATGCATACAAATCTAACAATTTTGACAAACCATGCAATTAAAAAGACACAAAGCATTTTTAATTGATGTTTCTACAAAGTGGAAAATGAGCATGTCATTTACACAAATCAGTAATTCTGCAAAAATTTGAAATGACCCACAAAAATCTATCTTGGCTCAGCCATACTCTTTATTCTTCTATCCATTCTCATCTTCGCTGCTTCTTTCTGTGTTTCTAAAGCAAGGTGCCTGGGATGCTATTATATGTTATATATGTTCTGTTTCCTAAACATCTTTGACCACATCACTCATCTCAACACCCCATGGATCTTACGTTCTGGAACTTGGGAAACACTGAACTAAAGTGAAAAGAGGGAAGAATTTGCTGGCAGTAAACTTAGAGATCTCCCCATAGAGAATAATAAGTGAATTGATAATCATCTGGGGCACAACATAACTGTTCTATAATAGAGATTCACTATCAACTTCTAACTGGATCTTTGATAGGGCATGATTTCGATTTTACTTTTAGTTTTTCATGATTGCTTTTAATATTCTTTAATGTAATTACATTCATAAAGAAAAGAAAAAAAAAACTCTTTAAGACTTTTGTATGTTCTACTGCTTTTTCCTTTGCTCTTTTAATACCAAAGAAAGTACTCTTTGCAATTAGAAATTTATTTTTTATCCCAACTATCCCAAAACACTTGATCACAATTTATTTCATTACCACCTCATATAGATCAACACATTGACATAGTATACAATCTGACAACTCATGTACATAATTTGACTAACAAATTTTGAAGCCTTAAGCACATCAGTCTAGAAATGAATCAATGCCCAGGCTGGTTTGGCTCAGAGGCTTTTTGACCCAAGGGTTGCTGATCTGATTCTGGTCAAGCGCTCATACCTAGGTTGCAGGTTTGATCCCCAGCCCCAGACAGGGTCATGGGGGAGGCAACCAATAGATGTGTCTCTCTCACATCGATGTTTCTCTCCCTCTCCCTCTCCCTCTCCCTCTCCCTCTCCCTCTCTCTCTCTCTCTCTCACCTCCCCGCCACTCTATCTGAAGATAAATGAAAAAAATATCCTCAGTGAGGATTATAAATAAATAAATAAACAAATATGAATAAATGAATCAGCAACTTTATTCTTTCTAACCAAGCAAGGTAAACATTTGACTTTTACTTCTTTGATCTGTCTTAGGCACTGATCAGTTCCTTGTGTGCTAAATTGTGACTTTCGGAAACTTGATCTCAATCTCATAAAAATGATTTGTTAGCTGGCTTTATGCAATTGACTTGCCATTTTCTTGCCTGCTAAATAAGAATAAATCAATTTTCCAATATTTCCTCAATAAGCTAAAAGCACTGAGATAATATTTTAAAGTAGTTTGACCTCCAATGAAAAAAGATATTTTACAGCCAATTGAACTTGAATTCCACTACAGTGCCAGCGTCATGGGACAATGATAATATATACTCACTAAAAGATGATGCGAGCGTCATAATGAAAAGGCTATCCCATAATAACTACCTCCATAGAGAGCACAATTAGATGTATTTTACAGTGACATTAATTAATGATGTTTAATGATAACAACAATGATGGTGTAAGTATTAGAAATATTAGTTAAAAACATTATCATACTTTTTATAAATAATATAAATTATAATCACTGTTGCAATTTTGACACAGAACCAAAAAATTTCATCAATATTATATTTATTGAGCATAAAAATCTCATAACATACCATTAAAACTCAAGTCCATGTCCTTACCATTTGTTTTGATTTTCTCCCTCTAAACTCTACCCTGTTAGTTGCTGCCCAGAAAACAAAGGCAGAGAGCAATCCCTGCAATGGCGAGATTATAAGCTTTCAGCTGTTATAAATCATAATTTTTTTATATCAGAGATTCATAAAATATCAATTGTTAATATTTATAATATGGTTAGTGATGTTACAAAGCACAGAAAACAAGACAGTTACCAAATATCTTAAAATTAACTTGCACTTACAATTTTCTACTACTTATGATTCAATGTGTTAATATTAGTGTACCACAGATGACAAGTCCTGAGTTACAAAACCGGGTAATGTCTTGCCTTCTCTTATAATTCCCAATGAGGTTAAGTTTTCAACACAGGACAGTAACAGAATATAGTAGTTTAGCAAAAACAAAGATGTAAAACATCAGAGCTAAACCTTTGAGCAAAAAATCATTGGCTTTATCTAAGATTTGGAGTCAAAGCTACTTGTGGTTTCTCAAATTTTGACATAAAAACTTTTGAGTCAACTGCAGTTTTTGACTTTTGTTGTTGTTGTTTGTTAATCCTCACCTGAGGAAACTTTTCCATTGATTTCTAGATGGAGTGGAAGAGAGGGAGAGAGAGAGATAAAGAGAGACACAGAGAGAGAAACATTGATGTGAGACACATCAATGGGTTGCCTTCCACACAACCTCAACCAGGACCAGGGTTCAAACCTGCAACCCAAATACATGCCTTTGACTGGGAATCAAACTCTTGACCCTTCGGTTCTAGGGTCGACGCTCTGACGGCTGAGCCAAGCCAGTGAGGGTTTTGCCTTTTTTTTTGTGGCAGGATTAATAACACATCTGGTCCTTTTTTTAGAACACCTCTGAGAATGTTACCAACTGCATGTTTCTACAGCAGTTCTAAGGTGAAGACAGCAACATCCTTATGGACTAGTACTGAATTTCATTTCAGCAGACAGGTGCAGCAGCATTGGCTTGTTTATTTAGGAAATCAGTAATGGCATTTGTTGACTTCCCACTACATGCCTGGTGCCTTTATCAATAGATAAGAGTTTGGGTGTACAGCATCTAACTTGAGGATGTATTATTTACTGGAAAAAGCAAAATGCAAATAGTATGCGTACCATTTGTGCAATGCCATTTGTATAAAAAAGGAGAAAAGACAGTGCTTATGCATGAATTAACTATTGAATACATATGATTCACTGCTTCCCAGTGAGAGAAATTAAATAGCTGGGAACAGTGGAGTGAGATTTGCACTCTTCACTCTTTTGTGAGTTTTTAAATATGAACCCAATATAACCTGTTTCAAAAATGAGCTTTTTCTTCTCTGACATTCCTCTCTCAATAATTCACATTAACTTGTCCAATTTTGAAAACATTATTGCTGCTTTATTTTATTTTTTCATTACCATTTATTCCCTCTATGCCCTCTTCTGCCTCCACCCCCTCCTCCCCTGCTAAAGCTAGAAGGGATAATAACCCTAAGCCTTAGGACTCCCAGATCTAGACTTTGTGTTACTAAAGCAGGCTCCCTTTCAAGGGGTAAAAACTCATTTATAAGTACAATGTGATGACTAAGAATTTCTACCAGACTGACTTCCTTGATTATTTGCTAAAAATTTCCCATCATTCCATTGGCCTCAGCTGTGAGGATATTGTACTGTTTTAACTTCCTTCATCTTATCCATACCACCATCTAATCCAGTGATGGTCACCCCTGAATATACATCAATCAGTACTTCTTAGGATGCTTTTGAAAGGTATCAATGCCCAGTCCCCACTCCCAGAGATTCTAATCTAATTGGCCTTGAGTTGAAGCTGGGCAATGTTGTGGTTTATGTGTGCCTAAGTGATTCTAATCTGCAGTCAGGATTGAGAACCAATGTGTCGACTGAAACTACATTAAATTTTCCAATACCCACCTGCCTTTGCCCTAGTGGATGAGCCTAGAATCTAACACTAGCCTTTGCTGGTTTTCTCTGTCTGTTATAAATAAGTGAGCCAATCTAAATATTGATAAAAGAATATACTGATAATTGCAAATTGATTATAGGGGCCATGTTCTGAGAAAATAAACTGGGAGAAGTGCCTCATTGTTTCACATTTTTTATGCCTTGATCTACAAACCAGACTAGACTGAACATACATATGAATTGTAGGACCTAGTGCCCTGAGCACACCTGCCATTTCTCCAAAGACATAATAACCTTCCCATCTTCGCCTGGCCTGGCAGCTCCTCTGTGTTGCCCATCATTCTCATTGGGGGTTTTAGTATGGTTGTATCCCTGTCCAGTAGGATTTCATCTTAATCTTTTAGATGAAGGGTTCCTGACTTAAACTTCAAGGGAGTTCATGAGT